CAGGCCCCCCATCCCTCCCACGCCCAGTGGGCCACAGGAGACAGGGGAGAGGGCACCTAGGTCCCCCAATCCCCACACTCATTGAGCCGCAGGATTGTAACGGGCCATGTGCCATCCAGCTGCTGGACGAAGTCTTTGGTCCAGAACCAAGCCCCTGTGTGGGTCGGCCAGCCCATGCAGGCCCGGAGACCTAGCATGACGTGGCCTGGACGGCAGTGGGCACCAGGCAAGGTCGGCAGCTTTCTCTCATTTTCACATCAAAGCACACTAGCATGCAGGAAAATGCAGCGTTTTCATGGTCAAGTTCTGCAGTGTTCAAAATGCAGGCATACCTCGGAGGTCTTGCGGGCTCGGTCTAGCCCACGGCAATAAAGTGAGTCACAAGAAGTGTTCCGTTTCCCACTGTGTATGAAAGTTCTGTTGACACCATACTGTGGTCTGTTCAATACAATTTTTCATTAGCATTATGAGAAATTTTGAAATATTACGAGAATTACCAAAATACGACACAGAGACACAGAGTGATCTTGTGCTGTTGGGAAAACGGCACAGGAGGTTTGCACCAGGCAAGGCTGCTGCAGACCCTCGACTTGTAACACACACGGTACCTGTGGAAGCGCAGCAAAACAAGGTGGGCCTGGATGGAGAGGAGTCAGGGAACAGCCACCAGCATCAGGGGCCAGAATCCCCCAAGACCCCCCACCTGCCCGCATCACGCCCGCCCTGCACCCACTCTGTTTGGGGCCCTGGTGACTCAACGTCGTCGTGGTCTTCTCAGTGCTGCAGATGTGGAACCAAACAGCAGTGGCCTTTGGAATCTGGCCTGTCTCTCTCAATAGGATGCACCTGAAATTCACCCATCCTTTAGTGTACCTGTGGTCTGTCCCTTTGTATCGTATCCACAGTGTGAGTGCACCCTCATCGAAGGACACCTGGGTTGTGTCCAGTTCAGATGACTGGGAAGAAAGCCACTGTAAGCTTTCACACACAGGGGTTTGTATGAACACAGCTTTTCACCTCACTGGGGTCAGTACCTAGGAGTGAAGTTGCTGAGTCACATGCGTGTGTGTAACCTGTCCACGGTTTGCCATGATGGTTGCGCTGTTTTGCGTCCCCACCACCAGTGTGTGAGGGTTCCAGCTGCACAGCATACTCATGAGCACGTGATATTGTCCAAACCAAAAAACACCAAACTCACTGCCGTCGAGACGCTCCGACTCATAGCGAGCCCTCCTTGGGTTTCCAAGGTGGTATCACCACGGAAGTAGATTGCCCAACCTTCCATC